TAATGATTACAGAGCCAAACCAAGGCAATATATGTTTTTATATATATATATATATATATATAAATTTTAAAAAGCAAATGGGAAAAACACATAAAATTTAAAATTAATACGGAACAGTAGAGAAATCCGATCAGACTGACAAAATAAACTAAGCATCCACTGGAAGGAATCCCAATATCTGCAGACGGATCCGTTTTGGCCTTCCAGGCGTCATCAGTGCAGCTAGGGTATAGACCCAAACGAAAGTTCGACCAGCTTAGGTAGGGCCCAAACTAGTCCCACGACCACTAATGATTACAGAGCCAAACCAAGGCAATATATATATACACACCCCAGGTGTGAATGTAAATAGTGGAATACAAGCTATGTGGCTCGGTTCCAGTAGATACAGAGGATATTTTAGTATAGAGTTCAGTATGTACTGTATGTCTTTATGTTTATAATTGTGAGTACGGTACAGTCATGTGACTGGATATACAGTTGTGTATGGATATATATGTACTTATGTACTGTATGTGTATTTCATGTACGTTTGTATTGTGTTTGTATAATTGTTCATGTGATTGTTTGCATCACTTTACTTTGCCTTAAGTTTTTTTTAGTTTAAGATTGCTTTTAATTTTATATGCTGAACAGTGTAGTTCCTAATAAATTATTATTATTATTATAACTAAAAATCGATTTTTGAGACGAGTGACTGGTTTGGCTTATATATAAGCATTAGTCTTCATTGTGTTGATTTCACTTTTATCGTTTTAATGCAAATTTTGTTGTATTACCTTGGTGTTAACATGCTTTGTGGTAATTCTTCGGACTCTCATAGATTGAAATTCATTTTAAGTTTTCTATCTTGCACAACAAATTCTTAATTTTGTTAATCAAACTTGTGTTCGTTGGTTATTATTATTATTATTATTATTATTAATATTATTATTATTATTATTATTATTATTATTATTAAGCATATTATTGTTAAGGCTATTATTTATCTTATTAATATGACTTTCAATAATAATTTTATATTCCTAATGCTGTTGTGTTAGTGGTAATTTTAATGAACTCGTTAATTTGATCGTTTTTGGTTGTTCGTAATGTTATTGTTATTGATATTAGCTCCGCTAACGAAAATGGCAGGCGGCTATGTATTGCCCCTGTTTATTTATATATTTATTTACTGATATTGAAATTTCGTGTAGAGTAAACCAAAACTTTAAATTACTTGCTGCGTTTCGAACCGATGTCATCGGATCTTCATCAGGCAATGCAGCTAGCTAAATGCTAGTTGTCTTCCCTGGTTTACTCTGAACGATTTTTTTGTTGTTGACAGTTGATTAAATATTTTTTTTTGCGTTTTCTATAGCGCTTAAAGCAGTTACAGCTAGGTAAAACTCAAAACTACCGTGAAATGCATGAACAATTTTTGAGTTCAGTCATTGCGTTGATATGAACTAAAAATGCACTGTCCTATGCAAGGTCGGCTTATGGTGCTCAATGGTTATGAGTCACGATGTACCTCACTATTACCTTTGCAGCCATAGTTCAAATCTCATTAATAACGTTGCAGTAAACTTGGTTTTGGTTTTCTTCCCTCTTATTTTTCCCCCTTTATTAAAATTATATTGGTTTTCTGTGTTTTTTAACTTTATACATTTTAATGGCTTCCTTTTTTTGCAATTTCAACTTAATTTCTCATTAAAGCAATGGGGAAAAGCCCTACGTTTTGTTGTTCAAACAGACATATTATTATTATTATTATTATTATTATTATTATTACCGACCTTGATTATGAGAAACTACTAAATGTTGCTAAAACACATTATAATAGCCACTGTGTAAATGTGTACTCAAATATTATTTTTTCCAGATATATAGACTACACCGGCATTAAGGAAATTAAAACAGGAAGTTTCAGAAATATTGGAGTCATGTCTAAGGTGTAAGAAAAGGCTTTGGGTGTTTTTTGTTTATGGGAAGGTTGAAAGTGATAATAAATTTAACTTCAGTCCATAATTATCACTTAAATTTCTTTTTCCAGATCTTTAGGTTTCAACTCAATTAAGCACCTTCCACCGAGGTTTATTAACTCAAGTTATTTATACCAGTTGTAAGTATTGTTTAAACGTTTTTTTTTTGTAGTAATGGTAATTTTAAACGAAATGTATTGATTTTTTTTTTGTTTTAATGTTGGAAATATATTTGTGTACCTTTATTTAGAGTTAAGATCGAAATAGACTTGTTTCATATGGTTTACAAAACTACCAGTGATTATATTGATTATTTAGGTTATGTGTACCACTTAATTGTGATTAACTTTTGTTAATGAACTTGGTCCTACCAAACATACTTTAAAACCGATCTGGAGCACTAAATCCATGTATTCAATGCTCGAAAACGCAGAGCTGTGTATGTACCATACGAGATGGCTGCCGTAGATTCGGCCAATTATAATACGCTTAAATCACCGTTTTAATGATGACCTCAACTTAACATTAAAGTTTTGAATACAGCTATGCTGACGGTTGAGTGTTGCGATGTGGCGTAGACGATTTCGATTTTCATTAGTACTTTTTAAATCAGATACTCCATTGGCCCTTTTTTGGTTACAATAGTTTCTTATGAATATTAATTAATGATTAATATTAATACAATAATTCATTATTATTGTTACTGTTATTGTTAATGTTATTGTTATTGTTATTATTATTAATAAATATTACTACCACCAAGCAAAACGACACAACACAGTATCTTACAATAACGGAGAAAACGTTTAAATACAGATAGACTGCAGACAAGCACTACTTTAATCACCTCAAGCATCAAGTACGAGGCTGACCAAGTATATATGGGAATTCAAAGGCAGCAACATATTTCAACGAGTACTCCCATACAGCAATATTACTAAGCTCTGCAATCTATGCCTAGCAGAAAAGTATTTTACATCATCGCATCCTACCGTTGAACAAACGACCCGAGTTGGTCGTCGCCTGTTGTCACCGTAACAAATACTTACTCAAGAACTGCTAATTTGCACGCCCTATTATTATTATTATTATTATTATTATTATTATTATTATTATTAAAATAATACTAGGTCAGAGGGCTTATTTATAGTTATATGTATAGTAATCCTGATGGTTTCGCTTTTCTACTGCGGCCTTTTTAAATGAATAAACATTCGCATCTGTATTGCTTCGTCACGTAGTCAGCACTCTATTTGTTTGTATAGATCTATGTAATAGGTAGGACGTGTCACGTCATGACCATCATGTTATTTTTTTCATGTTTTGTGGTTTTTTGTGCCACTTTCATATTGTTTTCACGCAGTATTCAATTTCTGCTCATCCTCTTTGTAGAAATAAATTATTGATTTTCTTATGTTGTCTTTTGAGACCACTTTTATCTTTGGTCTCCATTTTAAAGTTGCAAATTTGGTTACCCTCTAATTATGCTGCTTGGAGATCACTTCAAGCACATGGTCTCTACAGTGGCGTATCTAGCAGTATTAAAATGAGGGGATGGTGGGGGTGGGGGCGTAGAATTTATTTTCGGTGGCCACGCCCACTGAAAAATATTGCTTCTTAGATTCCCGAATACACGTTAACCGTGACAGATATGTTAAAGTACCGGTATATCTCTTGAACGCAGTTTTTGATGTGTTTTGATGAACGTCAATAAAGGGAAGTTGAGAAAGCATTAACCCATTTTCTTGAGCATAAGCCTAGCCTTATTTTTTATTTTATGGGGGGAGCAAACTTTTTGTTTTGTGACGTGCCCCCCCCCCCCCCCCCCCCCCCCTTCTTGGGTTTCAAGCACATGGTCGCTATTCAGAGGTTTCTTAATTGAGTCCGAATCCCGAGACCGCCCCAAATTTCAGCTAAACAAAGTGGTCTTGAATTGGAGGGTGGACAGTATTCGTTATCTCATCATAAACTGTGAAATAAAGAGAGGGCATAAACACTATCCTTTTTTGTTCATCCTTCGTGGTTTTGTGCTATATTTTGTTGTAACGCAGTATTATATTTCTTCTTATCTTCTTCGCAGAGTATTATCGTACAATAAATTGCAGCATATTGACCCTGAGGCATTTGCTGAGGTGGGAAAGATAATGGTGTTGTAAGTAGTTAAATGCAAAATACAATTTTAATCATGTTAATTACAATTTTGCAGTCGTATGTCTAAATAACTACACTGATATAAGAATGCAATGCAATTTCGTTCAATTCAATTTTCTCACTGCTGGAGTTAAGTTCCCGCAAATAAAGTATAAATATAAGTATAAATATTGAAACAGGTTATACATTTTTCTATAATAAATACACCATAGAAACAATAGATATCTCATTGCTATGATAAGAAGTTAAAATTGCAGAAAAAAAATGTCGTTACAAAGTATAAGTTTAAAAAAAAACCAGAAAAACAAAAAAGTAATAATAGTACCAAAAATAGGAAAACATTCCTGTTCTAAAAAAAAAAAAAAAAAAAAAAAAAAAAAAAAAAAATTCATGTTCACATATAACAGCGAGACCCGAAGAGTGAGAACAGTGAGACCCGAACTATTGCTGCAATGGTAATGGCAGGAACCTTGTAGCCATAACCATTGCGCGCTATAATATGAGTCGACCTTATGTAGGTGAGTGCATTTTTAGCTCATCTATCTTGAGTAATTTATTATGGTAATTTATTGATGCATTTAACGTTAATTTTGCCTTCAACATAGTTTCAGCTAGTTTGAAACTTGCTTTTACATACTTTAATTACCAGTCCAAAAATGTTCTTCAAATGGGCCCAAAAAAGTTTTAACATTTTATCATTAAAGCAATACAAACTATTCTTGAGTACATATACTTTAATAGAGATATTTAGGTTTTGGACCTTCGCACTTTCACTACAAGTTTCACTACACGCGCATCTTGGCAGCTACTAAAATTCGATAGTTTCTTCCTTTAAGCATATTTTTTAAGAAAATGTCATTAAGATAAGTCCGTCAGTTTTTGTAATATCTGGTCTGCGAGTTTTACCGTTAAATGGCCTTCATATGTCACACCAAAATGTAATAATTTCATTATTGGACCACGTCAAACCATTCTGCAAAGTTTTATTTTGCTCCATTGGCTAGATTTTAAGATATTTATGTCTGGGTCGTTAACACATAAATGACCTCTAACTTCACACCGGAAACTACCAACACTTAGTAATCTTATTCTTTCTTGAAAATTGGTTACACTTTGATTAAAGCTTCATTCAGAACACTTGATTATTATTTTTTAAATAACTAGTCTAGGACAGTTTTTCTTTAAATGGTCCGAATATCCACATGGTACTCCTTATATTCACCAATATTTAAACATTTCTTTATTAAAGAATGACGAACTATTATGGAAATTTTAATTAGGTCAATTGATCAGGTTTTAGAGATACTTAGGCCTGGGACCTTAGAGCTTTAAATGACCCTCAAATTCAAACCCGTATGTGGATAGTCACCAACACTTGATAATTACTTCCAGTCCACCTGGTTATTCAGGCTACTTGAGTAGTAATTGGAAAATGTGGTTGTATGACATTTTTTTTAAAATAGTCTTCATATTTACACCCTACGCAAAATCGTCACAAAATTGTATAAATTGCTTAATTGCAATGTAAAAACTATTATTGAAAGTTTCATTTTGATCCATTGAATAGATATATAGGTCTGAGACGTCAGAACTTTAAGTGATCCTCAAATTCACACCATAAATTTGATCTTCAACAACACATAAACATTTCTCTCTTGTAGAGATGCTAAAATTTACTGTCGGCTTACTTTTCACTACACATGTTACGTTTCAAACAAAGAATTCAAACAACATAGTATTGAAACATTATATTTCCAGTTACTGACACTGTAAAAAATGTGACAGCCTACCTACTTTCCGTCCATAACCTACAGAGAAAAAATACACCAACCCGGCCAATAGTATTTAAACATTATATTTTCAAGACAATGTAAAAAAATGTGAGAGCCCACCTAATTTTCTACCATAACCTACTGAGAAAAAATACACCAACACGGCTAACAGAAAACGCCTTTTATTGTATTAGTTGTATACCTTACATCTTCTGACTAAACACACTGGAACGTTTTACACTTATACATGCCATGTATTGGTTTTCAAGTGGAAATGTTATGCAAATAGTTCAATTAATAAGAAATATGTGGTAATGGTTTCATCTGATTATATTGAAATTACTGACCATACATATAGTACACGGTTCAATAATCATTTTAATGTAGCTATTCCTTCGTGTCATATTAATCTTGGAGGTCCAGAATTACATTCTCTGGTGCCATTATTTGGAACAGTCTACCTTTTTCTTCAAAATTAAAAATACTACATTAATCAGAACATACATAATAACATAATTCAGGTCTATTATTATTATTAATATATTACTATTATTATTATTATTATTATTATTATTACTATTATTATTATTATTATTATTACTATTACTATTATTATTATTATTATTATTATTATTATTATTATTATTATTATTATTATTATTATTATCACGGTAAGGAAATTTATTTGTGTTGTGATCAAAAGTTTAAACTTTTAGTACATTCAAATACCAACACAGATGAGATATTTTTCGAATATTATTATTATTATTATTATTATTATTATTATTATTATTATTATTATTTACTGCCAAGCTTGATTATCTTTAGCTATATCTTGGTTACCTTTTGTATTTACATTTTTTGATGCATTAAAGACGAATGAGTAATTTGTGGTTCCATTAATCAGAAGTCATCTTTAAAAATCCGATGCATGTGGACCTAAAACTATAGGCTGGAGGCTGCTGACATACAGAGAAACACACATAACATATAATAAAAAATAACCTCTTTGAGGAGGTAATAACGTTTTTGTTTATTATTATTATTGGCTTTTCCAAGTATTTGATCTGATATTTCCCCTTTTTTCTTGCATATGGTTTTTCCTATCTTTTTGCACTGGGTTTTCCGTCCGGCACTTTGGTCACTTCTCATGTTTAGAACTTTCCATGATTTGTCGAAGCATAATATTTACTGTAACTCTAGAGTAAGAGGTCTATTTAAGTAATTTAAGGGCAAAGAGTCTCCAACAAATATTCCAAAAACGTGTCAATTGATCTTAATAAACTTTCTGAAAAGTTTAAGCAAGTTACAAGGAAGACATTACTATGTGTTGGGAAGATCTAGTTTAGAGTGCAAATTTGAGGCCATAAGTCCGATACCTAATAATCTTTTTAAAAAATATCATTAGTAATAATAATTGAAACTTTCTATAACAGTTTGTTAAGGTCTGAAATTATTAAAATGTTTGTGACCATCTGGAGTAGATCAGAGAACCATTCAAAGAAAAACGTCACAGACCAGATATTTTTAAAAAACGAAGCAACGGAGCTGAATGAAACATTCGTGAAAGTTACAAGGAAGAAATTATTATGTGTCGGGGATACTCCAGTTGAGGGTGTAAATGTGGGGTTATTATTTTTCTTAAGTTCCATACCTAAATATCTCTTTTAAAAAAATCAATGGATATAAATAAAACTTTCTATAATAGTTTGTCAAGATCTAGAAAATAAATTATACATTTTTGGACAATCCGGTGTAGTAGTACGGCAGCTTAGGGCCATATTTGGACTTAATGTGGACGTTCCGGACAAAAGCGCAAATTTTTGTTAACATGCTCCTTATGGTCATACCATTCAATTTTTGGTAGAAACATCTTGGATTTCAAAATGGTAGCCTTATAAAACCTATGTTTATCTATATCTCCGCTCCTAAATCACTTTGAATTATAATTCTAATGTCTAAGAGTATGTTTATTTGATCGAGGAATAACATCATATCATATTTGATATGGTCAGATTGCCAAAATCCAAAAAAATTTAAGGTCATTCAAGGTCAAAATTGTATGGTATCTTTAAAATTACGTAAATGCAAAATTTTACATTAGAATCATACCCACGATCTCAGATTTCAAAATTTTTATTATGAACTACAATATTTCATTTGAGGTCATTCTAACGGCCATCTTGAATTTCAAAATGGCTGCCACGCAAAACATATATTTATCAATATATCGGCTTTTAAACTACTTCCAATAAGAATGTCTAAAAATATATTTTCATGGTCAATGATTTATAGCACTTGTGACATGATCAGATGGTCATTTATGGTCATTAAATTTCATTTTTCTGTTAAATACGTAGAAAATCTTCATAGTTTGTAAGTGGTCGTGTTTTACAGCAAAATCATACATAAGCTCACAAAATTCAATTTTTGATAGGAACTATTTTATCAGAGGTCATTATGACAGCCATTTTAGGTCAAGGTCATTTAGCAGCCATATTAAATTTCAAGGTGACCACCATGTAAAACATGTTTTGTTCTGTTAAATTTGTTTACTGTACTGCATAGTCAAAGAATAACATCAAAAGTAGTGACACGTATTTGTATTTATTATATTACATTATATATTGGAAAAAGTCTGATATCAGATATTGTATTTAATGTGAAATGATAAATTGATATTAAAAG